CTCTTATCTGTGTCAAAATTCAATCTGTGGCTCACTTTTAAAGGCAATGTAGCTGCTAAAGGAAAAAATGAGCTCAAGATAAAAAAAAAGGCTGGTCCGAAGGTAGTGAGTTATCTCACTTGATTGTTCACAGTCAGTTACAAATTGAACTCCTTGTTCTACTACTTAACCCCCCTCCTCACTACTGCACTTGTCTAAAAAAAAAAAAAAAGATACAAAGAGGAAAACAGTTTCTTTTACACAAAAGAGGGAAGAAAAATATGTAATTTACATTTGTAGCAAATGCTGTGCAAGCAGAAAATGAACCAGTATATTATAGATTGTCTTTCTGCACAAAACTCCCTGACATCCTGAGTTTCCTGCCTGGAGGAAAACACATGTGAACATGGTTAACAAATTTACTTCAGTAATACGGTAGGTCCTTTGTTTCCCTGAGACTTCTAGTTTTATTTCCTATAATGCATTAGTAAAATGTTTTCTATCATGTAAAAATCCATATATGGCTTATCTTCTCTACAGAAGACAATAAGTTAAAGACAGAAAAGAAAATCTAATGGCAGAGAAAACTGTCTTAGTATGACCCAATCTTATGAATATTTGTATATGGGCTTATTCCACGAGATACTTTGCTTGGCTCGTTCCGCCACAGCCACGCTGGGCGTCTTGGCCTTTTCTAGTCACCACGCTCCTTCTCCCCACTGGCCTTTCCATGTGCTGTTCCTTCTGCCTAGAACATTCCTCAGTATCCTCTTCACTTAGTTAGCATCTGTTTATCCTTCGGATCTCAATAGCCACTTTGTCTGTGAAGAATGCCCTGATTAGGTCAAATACTTTTATGGGCTCTCAGAGCATCCTGCGCTCCCCTTCATGGACACGATTTTACTTTTGTCTGTTCCTTATCTGATTGATGTCTGTCTTTCTCTGTCTACATCGGAGGTTGCAAACGGGGAGTCAAGGGGCTGAATTCCGCCCACAAATTTCTTTTGTTAGACTCGTAGTGTTTAAAAATCTTTCGAATTAGTTGCTAAAATTGAGAAATGTCACAAAAACAACCATTTCTAAAATGTCTTGAAAAAAACATGATCTGATATCTGCAGGCCATCATTCCTACATGGCAACGCTTTCCAATTCACCAGAATCTACTTGCATCTATTGTAGGACACCCACCCACTTCATTCATTAAGGTTGCGTGTCTTAGCTCCGTAAACGTGTACGATTTTCACCTGTGCCCAATAAGGCGCGCTTCTCTCTTTCCTAGGTTTGCTCCATATTGCATCTCCAGTGCCTAGCGTGTGGCTGGCGCGCCATATTTATTAAATGAATAACTTGAAAGCAATGAACAACTATAGAACATTTAATGCTAAATACCAAGCACTGTCCTTCGAGTCTCCTGTGCATTATCCTATTGCACCCCGATAGCAACGCCACGAGGAAAAGCTTAATTACGTGGGAACTAAGGACCCAGACAGACTAAGTAATTGTCTGAGGACTCACAAGCAGTAAGTAACCGGCCATGGCTCGTTTCCTCCGTGACCCTTTACTGGGCTCACAACGCCCCATTACTAAGTGCACAACGGCGATCCGTGGAATCCTGGAAGACAGCGCGGCCCCGCCGCCACACGGGGACACCTACAGGTTACACTCCGCACTGCGAGCGAAAGCGCCCCAAGAGGGATGACAGCTCGAGCCCGGCAGAGTCTGAGTCAGGGGCCTGGACAGGGGCAGGCGGCCTCCGCTCCGCAGCCTTCCGGAGCTGGGCTCCGCGGCGGGCGCGGGGCCGCGGCGCGTCCAGACGGACCCCGCGCGCCGCTCCCAGAAGCCCAGGTAGGGCGGGGAGCCGGAGCGCATCCCCCAGCACGGCGCCTTTATGTCCAGCGGCGCAGGCCCCGCGGCTCGCAGCCGCGACGAAGGCAGCGGGGCCCGCCCCCGGGCCCCTCCCAAGGCCGGCTGGACCCCCGTGGACCCCGGGCTCACCCGCCCAGGCTCCCGAACCGCCCAGGCCCACCGGGCCCGGCCCTGCCCCGCCCCGCCCCGGCCGCCCGCTCGCCCGCTCCGCGCCTCCATGGCAACGGCCGCGCCCCCGGGCCAGGCCGCTGGGATGAGGAGAAACCCCACGGCCGAGCGACTCTCCTCACCGGCATCGTGGCCCCCTCCCGTGCCCGGCGGACGTCCCCGCTCGGGGTGCAGCCCAGCGACACCCGGTTCGCGGGAAAGGCTTGCCGGAGACGACCGAAACCCCTCCTCAGCGCTCTCGAGACTGCGGCTCCGCGGGCGAGAGCGCGCAGTGCGCAGGCTCACGCCGAGCCCGCCCCGCCCCAACCCCCGGCTCGCTCGGCCTCTTGAATCGCGCCTGCGCGGAGGCCTTTCGCGTCCATCTCCTAGGACGCCGGACCGAGGCTGCGCCTGCGCAGTGCTGCCGTTCTGAGGCGCTGGAACGCTGACCCGCGCTGAGGCGGGGACGCCTGGCAGCTCCGGGGTGAGGGGAGGCTCTTATAAATTGCAAGGCCCAGCTTCTGGCGCGTGCGACACCCCGAATATTAAAAACAACAGCGGCAACTGTACGCCGTGTCCCACCTAAAGTCCTTACATCGTCTCGCTTGGTTGCCCACGCGTCCGTGACCTGCTTTACTGCGGAAGGTGAGCTCCTGAGGAGCTTGCGGGATTCTCAGGTGCATCTCCAGAGCCCGGAATAGAACCGGGCACAGCGTGGCTTTCAGTACGTATCTGTGAATCAGTCATCATCCTCTTTCCAGTCTGAACCTCTCCCCTCATGCCAAGTTTTTCGTGTCCAAACGCGAACTTGTAATCCGCCTTCATTCACCCTGCCACCCCGCTCCACCGCCGTCGGGGAAAAAAGAAAGGAAAAAGCCTCCCTCTCAGACTTCCCTCATCTCAGCAAATGGAAGCTGAATTCTGACGATTGCTCAGATCAAAACCACAGTCTCTTTCTCTCATTCCCCACATCCGATCCTTCCATAGAGAGCCTGTTGGATCTCTCTTCCGAGTGGAACCAGAATTCGGCCACCTCGGACTAGCACCGCCTCCACCGCCTCTCGCATACATTACCGCGACTGCGCGGAACTGGTTTCGCTAATTGCATACGTGTTCCCTTTTAGTGTTAGTACAATATATTTTCAACAAAGGAGCCAGAGTGGTGGTGTTAAAACATGAATCAGATATTGTCTTTTCTCAGCTCAAAACTCTCCATTGATGTGGGGGGTTGCTGAGGAAGGAAGATGGCTTGAGCCCAGGAGGTCAAGACCAGCCTGGGCAACATAGCAAGACCCATCTCTACAAAAAATTGTTTTAATTATCTGGGGTTGGTGGCACGCGCCTGTAGTCCCAGCTGCTCCGGAGGCTGAGGTGGGAGGATCACTTGAGAGCAGCAGTTTGAGGGTGCAGTGAGCTGTGATTGTGACACTGCACTCCAGCCTGGGCTATAGAGTGAGACCCTGTCTCTAAAAAAGCAAATAAAGAAAAACCCTCAGGCCGGGCGTGGTGGCTCACGCCTGTAATCCTAACACTCTGGGAGGCCAAGGTGAGCGGATTGTTTGAACTCAGGAGTTCGAGGCCAGCCTGAGCAAGAGCGAGACCCCATCTCTACTAAAAATAGAAAGAAATTAATCGGACAACTAAAAATATATAGAAAAAATTAGCCGGGCATGGTGGCGCATGCCTGTAGTCCCAGCTACTCGGGAGGCTGAGGCAGAAGGATCACTTGAGCCCAGGAGTCTGAGGTTGCTGTGAGCTAGGCTGACGCCATGGCACTCACTCTAGCCCGGGCAAAAGAGTGAGACTCTGTCTCAAAAAAAAAAAAAAGAAAAACCCTCCATTGATTTCCATCTCATAGAGTAAAAGCTACAAGCCCTTCCTCCAGCTCCTAGTCCTCTCTCCTTTCTTCTGCGCCAGCCTCACCTGGCATACTTGCTTCATCCAACATTGCAGGCATGCTTCCATCGTTGCATGCAAGGGCTATGTGCTTGCAGTAGGAGCTAATAAAAATAACTGTAAAGCATTTTATTTAGTACCACTGTACTGTTCTAAGTGCCTTACTTTTTTTTTAGTTGATTTAACCCATACAATAACCTTTAGAAGTAGGTACTATTTATTATCATTATTTTACAGACAAAGAAACTGAAGCACAGGGCCAAAGTCATGCATGTGGGCAATGACAAAGTCAAGATCCAAACCCAAGCAGCCTGGAAAGCTCTTTCCCTAGGTAGCCACCTGACTCACTCCCTCCCCTTGTTCAGAAAGTCTTTGTTCATGTAGTAACTTCCCCGTGAGCCCTATCGTAACCTCCCTGTTTAAAATTCCAACCTTCGGCCCTAGCTCTTCTTCCCTCTCTACTTTATATTTCTCCACAGCACTTATAACCATCTGATATTTTATATATATATATACACATACAAGCTTTATTGAGATATAATTCATACACCATATCATACAATTCACTAATTTAAAATGTGCAAGTCAGTGGTTTTACTATGTACGTGGAGTTGTACAACCATAACCAGTCGGTGAAAACATTTTCATCACTCCAAAGAGACGGTCTGTACTCACAGCAGTCACTCCTCCCCTCCCCCTGCCCCTCACATCCCAAACACCAATCTACCTTCTGTCTCCATAGATTTGCCTATCCTGCACATTTCATATAAATGAAATTATACAATATGCGGCCTTTTTTGAATGATTTCTTTCACTTACAATAATGTTTTGAAGCTTCATCCCTATTGCAGCAAATATCAGCAATTTCATTACTTTTTATGGCTGAATAATGTACATTCTTTTTATCTAATTGTCTTTGAAGGATATTTAGGTTGTTTCTACTTTTTGGGCTATCATGAATAATGCTGCTATAAGTTTTTTATGAACATACGCTTTCATTTCTCTTGGGTATACACCTAAAAGTAGAATTGCTGGGTCATTTGGTAACTCTAATGTTGAACATTTTAAGCAACTGCTAAATTGTTTCCCACAGTGACTGCGCCATTTTTAATTCCCACCGGCAATGTATAAGGTTTATGATTTCTCCACATCCTCACCAACACTAGCTTTTGTATAAAATAGTATATCATTGTGATTTTTTAATTTTAATTTACCTGATGACTAATGATGTTGAGCATCTTTTTGTGTGCTTATTGACAATTTGAATGACTTCTCTGGAGAAATGTCTATTCAAATCCTTTACTCATTTTGTCTTTTTGTTATTAAGTTGTAAGAGTTCTTTATATATTATAAATGCAAATCTTTTTTCAAATATATAATATGCAAAAATTTTCCCCATTCTGTGGGTTTTCTTTTTACCTTCCTGATAGTGTCCTTGGAAGCACAAAAGTTTTTAATTTTGATGAAGTCAAATCTATATATTTTTTCTTTTGTTGACAATTATGTTTGTGGTGCATATGTAAGAAACCATTTTCTAGCCCAAGGTCATGAAGATTTACTCTTGGGAGAGTTTTATAGTTTTAGCTCTTACATTCAGGTCTATAATCTGATTTATTTTTGTATATGGTGTGATGGAGGGATCCAGCTTCATTCTTCTGCATGTGAGTGTCCAGCTGTCCTAGCACCATTTGCTGAAAAGACTCTTCTTATCTACCCTAAATGCACCCGAGACCTGATCTTGTCTGAAAAGACTATTCGTTGTTGTATGTGTTTGTTTGTTCTTTTGAGACAGGGTCTTGCTTTGTTGCTGGGACTAGAGTGCGGTTGTATCATCATAGCTCACTGCAACCTTAAACTCCTGGGCTCAAGTGATCCTCCTGCCTCAGCCTCCCAAGTAGCTGGGACTACAGGTGTGTGCCACCACGCCCAGGTAAGGTTTTTGTTTTGTTTTGTGGGGTTTTTTGTAGAGAAAGGATCTCAATATTGCCCAGCCTGGTTTCGAACTTCTGGGCTCAAGTGATCCCCTCACCTCGGCCTCCCAAAGTGCTAGGATTACAGGCGTGAGCCACTGTGTCCGGCCTGGAAAGACTGTTCTTTCCTCCACCGAATTGATATCTTCATTGAAAATCAATTGATCATAAATGCAAGCGTTGATTTCTAGACTCTCAATTCTAGTCCATTGACATATACGTCTATCCCCATACCAGTACCACACTGTCTTGACTACTATAGCTTTGTAGTAAGTTTTGAAATCCCATAGTATGAGGCCTCCAATTTTGTTCTTTTTCAAGATTGTCTTAGCCATTCTGAATCCCTTGCACTTCCCTAGGAGTTTTAAGAACACTTTGTCAATTCCTGCAAAAAGGCAGTTGGAATTTTACCAGGGAATATGTTGAATCTGTAGATCAATTAGGGGAGCATTGCCATTTTAACAATTTATGTCTTTCTTCTCATGAACACAGAAGGTCTTTCTATTTAGTTACATCTTCTTTAATTACTTTTGGTGATGCTTTGTAGTTTTCAATGTACAAGTTTTATATTTTTTGTTATATTTATTCCTAAACATTTTATTCTTTTTATGCTGTTGTAGGTGGAATTGGTTTCTTAATTTTCATTTTCAGATTGTTCATTGGTAATGTATAGAAATAAAATTAACTTTTATAGTACATTGATCTTGTACTATGCAACTTTTCTGAACTTATTTATTCTTCTAATAGTGTTTTTAGTGGATTCTAATAGTGTTTTTAGTGGATTCCTTAAGATTTTCTATATACAAGATCATATCATCTACAAATAAAGATAGTTTTACTTCTTGCTTTCTAATGTGGATGCCTTTTATTTTTCTTGCTCAACTGCCCTGGCTAGAACCTCCTGTACGTTGTTGAACAGAAGTGGTGAGAACAGACATCCTTGTCATGTTCCTGATCTTAGTTGGAAAACATTCAGTCATTTACCATTAGATGATGTTAGCTGTAGGTTTTTCACAGATACTCTTTATCAAGTTGGAAATTTTCCTAGTTTATGGAGTATTTTTTATTATGAAAGGATGTCGGATTTTGTCAAATGCTTTTTCTGGATCTGTTAAGATGATCACGTGTTTTTGTCCATTATCAGATATATATTGATTTTCGGATGTTAAACCATGTCAGCATCAGAGCGATTCTTCCCTCAGAATAAGCTGAGGTGGGGAGCAAGCTCTTTTTAGAAGGACACTGATCCCATCATGTGGACCCTGCCTTCACAACCTCAGCGAACCCTAATTACCTCCCAAAGGCCTCCTCTCCAAATACCATCACATTGGGGGTGAGGACTTCAGCATATGAATTTTGGGAGGACACATTCAGGCCACAACACAGCCCTACCAGACTAATGCAATCATTAATCCATTCACATTTAATGTTATTATTGATAATATTTAAGTCTGCCATTTTGCTTTTTGTTTCCTGTATGTCTTATATCATTTTTAGTCTTCTGTTCCTCCTTCATTGCTTTCTTTTTCATTAAGTGAATATTTTCTAGTTTAGCATTTGAGTTTCTTTAATGATTGCTTTACTATTTTGTTGTTGTTGTTTGTTTGTTTTTAGAGAGACAGAGTCTGGCTCTGTCACCCAGGCTGGAGTGCAGTGGCACAATCATAGCTCACTGTAGCCTCAGACTCCTGGGCTCAAGTGATCCTCCCGCCTCAGAATCCCAAAGTGCCAGGATTACAGACATGAGCCATCGCACCCAGCCTTGCTTTATTATATATTTTTTAGTTATTTTCTTACTGGTTGCTCTAAGGCTTACAATATATATCTTAACTTATCATAATCTTCCTATTCATGCTCATTTAATTCCAGTGAAATATATAAATGTAACTTCCATATAGCTCTATTTCCTTCTCCCCTTTTTGAGCTATTATTGTTCTACATATTACATCTATATATATTACAACAATACATTGTTATAATTTTTACATTATATAATTTTTTTCTTAGAGTATTTGCCTGGGCTAGAGAGCAGTGGCATGATCATAGCTCACAGCAACCTCAAACTCCTGGCTCAAGTGACCCTCCTGCCTCAGCCTCCCGAGTAGCTGTGACTACAGGCATGCCCCACCATGCCCAGCTAATTTTTCTTCTTTCTTTTGTTTTTTTGAGAGATGGTATCTGGCTATGTCACTCAAGCTGGTCCTGAACTCCTGGCCTCAAGTGATCCTCACACTCTGGCCTCCTAAAGTGCTAGGATTACAGGTGTGAGCCACCGCGCCCGGCCACATTATATATTTTTATGTCTTTTAAAGAAGCACAGAGAAGGAGAGCCAAGTTTGTATTTACAGAGTTTGTTATATTAACCTTCTTATATACTATTTCTGGATCTCTTCTTTTTTTTTTTTCCTGTGGATTCAAGTTACCATCTGGTATTACCAACATTTTATATGATTCCATTTTCTTTCCTTTCTTAGCATATGAATTATTCTTCCTTTTTTAAAAAAAAACACCTTTTTTTTAGTGGTTGCCCTTTGCAATATACAATTACAACTAATGCAGGTCTACGTTCAAATAACATCATGTTGCTTCACAGGTAGTACAAGCACCTTGAAACGAAGTGTTCCTGATTCTTCCCTCCCATGCCTTGTATCATTGTTGTCATTCATTTCACTTATCCATAACCCACAATCATCAAATACATTATTATTTTGAATAAACTGTTGTTAGATCAATTAGGAATATGAAAAACAAAATTTTTATTTTATTTTCACTTACTCCTTCTTAATGTTCTTCTTTTCTTTACATAGATCGAAGTTTAGGACCTATATCATTTTCCTTCTCTCTGGAAAACTTCTTTTAACATTTCTTGCAAAGCAGGTCTACTGGTGAGAAACTCCGTCAAGTTTTCTTTGTCTGAGAAGGTCTTTTTTTCTCTTTCACTTTTGAAGGATAATTTCATTGAACATAGAATTCTAGGTTGGTAGGTTTTTTTCTCTCAACACTTTAAATATTTCACTCTGCTCTTTTTTTGCTTACTGATGATTTCCGAGGGTAAGTCCATTGTGATTCTTACTTATCCTTGCTCCTCTAAAGCTAACATTCTCTCCTACCCTCAGCCTCTTTCTTTCAAGATTTTTGTCTTTACTTTTTATTTTCTGCAGTTTTTTTGGGGGGGGAGGGAGGGAGGTGTTTGTTTTTGGTTTCTTAGAGACATGGTCTCACTCTGTTGCCCAGGCTGGAGTGCAGTGGTGCAATCAGAGCTCACTGCAGCCTCGAGCTGCTGGGCTCAGGTGACCCTCCCACCTCAGCCTCCTGAGTAACTGGGACTACAGCCATGTGTCATCATACCTGGCTATTTTTTAAAGTTTTTTGTAGAGATGGGGGTCTCACTATGTTGTCCAGGCTGGTCTCAACCTCCTAGCCTCAAGCCATCCTCCCTCTTCAGCCTCCCGAGTAGCTGGAATTACAGGCATAAACCACCGTGCCCAACCTTTTCTGCAGTTTTAATGGGAATGTTTGGTTGTAGTTTTTTGGCATACATCCTGCTTGGTGTTCTCTGAGCTTCCTAGATCTGTGGTTTAATGTTTGACATGAATTTGGGGACATTCTCAGTCATTATTGTTTCAGATATTTCTTCTATTCTTCTCTTTCTTCTTCTTCTGGTATTCCCATATATTTTAAATGTAAATTTAATGTAATGAAATTTTTAAATAAAATTTAACTGAGGAGCCAGGCATAGTGGCACTCACTTATAAGTCCCACCTACTCGAGAGGCTCAGGTGGGAGGATTGCTTAAGACCAGGAGTTCAAGGCTGTGTGCTATGATCATATCTGAGAATAGCCACTGCACTCCAGCCTGGCAACACAGCCAGACCTCATCCCTAAAATTAAAAAAAATACACACATGCACACACACTTACATAAGGAAAAGTGTATAAATTGTAAGTGTACACCTTGATCGACCTTCACAAGGTGGACTCACCTATGTAATCAGCATCCAGGTAGGAAAACAGAACATTACCAGCCACCTACAAGCTCCCTGTGTTCCTTGTTCAGTCATTATCCGCCCACCTGCAAGGGTAACCACCATCTTGACTCTAACATTATAGATCAGTGTTCCTTTTTAACATACTTCATATAAATGGAATCACACAGTATGAACTCTTTTGCATCTGTCCCCTTACACTCCATATTACATTTGTGAAATAATTCTGTGTTGTTGGGTACACAACTGTTGGCAGTTCATTTTTTCAACAGGGTGTAGGATTCCATCGTGTGACTACGCCGCAACCTACTTATCCCGTTCGCCTTTCCGCAGACACTAGGGTTGCATCCAGTTTGGGGCCATCGCAAACGGTGTCGCTCCGAACACGATGCAGGCGTCTTTCGGTGCACACACGCATTTCTTTCGGGCAGATACCTGAGCGTGAAATCCCTGGGATTTCCGTATATTCTACTCGCGCTCGTCGCCTTTCTCTGCCAACCGGAAGGTAAGTGCCGCGCCTGTTCTGTGCACTGCGTTCCGGCGCCCAGTACACGGGCCCGGCGAACACCCGCCGGATGCGCGAACTGGGGCGCGCGGGCCCGAGCGGCCGAGGCAGCGCTGCCGCTCTCTTAAAGACGAGGCCCCCGAGCGGCCGAGGCCCGCACGTGCACGAGGTCACGCGGCGAGTCCCGATTCCGTCTCGGGGGTCTGGCTGAGGAGGGGGCTCTGGACGTCCCTCTACCTGGTCTGGTGTCCCAGAGTCTGGAGCGCGAGGTGGGGCGCAGGGCCGGCGGGGTCACCGGCCGCCCCGTCCGGGCTGGAGACCGAGCGCGGGGAAGAGGGGGAGGCGGGGGAGGGG